TATAAAATAAAATTCCAAATAATCTACAATCAAAGCTAAATACAATTAATAAAAATGACAAGTCAATCATACTGAAAACTAATTTGCTGTGGCCCTAAGCAGACCGTTAAAATCGACGCCATAGATCATGTATTAAAAAGGTTTTCAAAGCCCAGGAACAATGCAATGAACATGCAACTTGTAGTGAAAGTGAAATGTTCGCTTGTTCGCTTACAGAATGCTAAAATTCTGTTTAAATGACACTCATTTGTTGGTATAGAATATTTACTGATGTTTTTTCTTAAAACTTTGATTTTTAATAAGCCCAACCAGCCCAAGAACGAATCAAACTTTCAAAAATATACACGCAAAACACGTCATATAATCCCTCCAATCAGCTACATTTGAGATCTATCGCAGTGAGGGATGCAGCAAATGTGTGGCACAGACACGACTTGTGTGAAGGCAGCTGGCAGCTGGCAGAGTGTAAAATGGTGTGAATAAGAACCTCATTATAGATGCAACTGTCATGTCACTGCGTTTCTTTGTTTCGCCGTAATCAAGGTAAACTGTTATAATGAGAAGATGGGGGAGATTTCATCTGGAGTCTGTTTGCCTGCTGCTCTAAACTCCTGCTGCTCTGCCTGTGAGAGATGTTTGACTTGTCCTCCATCCAGAACAGTGGTATTGGGGGATTTATTTTGTAATTCTGAACCTTTGGATGTTCTGTCAAATACGGAAACCAAAAATGCAGTCAGTCGCTCTGTGGATGCAAAATGTTTCAGCACAAATTTGCCCACAATCCTTTGGGCCACTAGAAACTCAATACATTTAAACTCTTAGCAGCTTCTACATTGCTTAAAGTCTAATAACAAATTCTAACAGCATCTCATCTGCCTTGTTGATAATGTATCAGCCTGCTGTTGCAAAATAGGGTAAAGTGCTGAAACATAAAGGTAAAGATACTTTGCGTATTTCACATGGATGAGTTCTTCCAGACAAACTAACAACACCAGCCTCCTCTTTGTTACGTTCCAGAATCTGAAATCTGAGACGAGTTTGAGCCGTTGATTGATAAATTGCAGTGGTTGGATATTTTGGAATCTTTAATTATCATGTCCTTGATGGATTTGGGTCACCAATGTAATATGTGCCCTCAAGATTTCCATGAAATTTGTGCAGGGGTGGGTTGTGAATAGAGAAAGAACCTATTAAGTTCTTTGCTCAACTCACTGCACAGTGAGAGCAGAGGTGTGTACATGAATGTTTATTTCATCTCACTGTGTAAGTATTTGACTTGTTTTATTATACTGGTTAGTGTTTTGTGAAGAATTGAAAATGATCTCATTGTTGCTTTCACTGTAATTTGCACTGATAAATATAAAAAGTATACACAACATATAGGCCCTCATGTAATTCTATAGCCCCAATGAGATGAGGTACTTGTTAAAAGATAAAGAAAGGGCTTCAACACACTCAGAGATAAACAGATGCCAGAGAGGCGTTTGCAATGAATCAAGAAGCCGCAGCTACTTACTCCACATGACCAAACATGGTCACATAAGAAAAAGTCCCTGACCAGGATGCAAATTCCATTCAGTCTACCAGCCACGACATGCACACTGTAGTGCTGACCTTTACTGCAGCTCATTAAAATGTTTGTTTGGTACGAAAAGGAGGGCGTGTTGATCTGCAGCTGATAACCATTGAGTGGTCAAGTGAAGATTTTAGGGGGGGAGTGCTCAGTCGGGCTCCTCGTTTCTCTTCAGTGCAGCTCAGCCTTGCTTTAATAAGCAAAGGACACAGGGAATCCATCATCTGCTGACAGCTGAAGCTTGAACAAGGGAAAGAGTGTTGCTTACCTGCTGCATTCTGTCTTTTATCAAGACAAATAGGCTCTTAGTGATCAATGAAACATAACTGAAGTATCCTTGGTGAATCCAAAGCTGAGATACAGTTTCCTCCTCGACCAGGGGACTGAAAGCAAATAGATGCAGCTATGTGCACTCCCTGCTTTGCATCCCATCAGCTGAGACAGTGTACTCGGCCTCCTTTTAAGGAAGCACACAGCCAGTGTTAGTTGTAGTGTCCCAGCTTGGCAAAGTGCAAGGCCACAGACACAGAGCATGGTTTACTCTAGGAAATACCTGCTGCTATACAAATCTAAGAATAGCTTCTTTCCATTGTAGTCGCCATGAGTCCACTTTCCATACAGTGCTGCTGGGAGGCCAACTATCATCCCCGTCGTCATAGCGATGGTGCAGGAACAGGTGGACGTTTAAACAAATAAACCTTGCATCTCGGTCGTTCGGGGTATGAGCCAGAGGAATGTTATTCCACCTTGCATCTACTAAGTAGATTTGATGGCAGACTGATTACTGATGAATGCCTTCATTTATGTTAGAGCCAGTAACATTCACCTCTTACCTCTCCTGCAATTTGCTCATGTGGAAAACCATTTCCTCTCCCGTTTAAAGCGTCCCATCTGTACATGGACACAGCAGCCGGCCTTCCTCTCTGTCAAATCACGCCACTTCTCAGCAACAAGGACCCACTTGTGCTCAGACTAAAGCATCAGCAGTGTGATTCAGCCCTGTATCGGTTTCTCATTTGGCAAATTTGTCTTCTTTTTAATGACTGCCTTTAAAAGTCTGTTTAGGAAGGCACAGGACAGCTCCACTCTCTCCTGTCAAAGTCATTGGTGTTTGGATCAAGCTAATTTAATGCAGCTTTTTACGAGGAACTTAAATCATGTCATTAGACTAAATCTGTGAACTCTTCTTTGTGTAGATTTATAGAAGCTTTGAAGTCAAATCTATGTCATAAATAACTGACATTTTATTCACAAACATTTTTTACTGTATCTCTGCACAGCTGTTTTCACTCTGACGATGCTAAATTATCCCGAGGATGCTCAGCAAACCCGGAGAGACGAGATGAGCCCGTGGTTGTAAACTCACACAATCCAACTCACATGTGATTGCAGCCTTTATCTCCAATACCATCTAAGGAATAGTAGACTGACTTGGCATGTCCACAGGCTGCAAACAGCTTCTCCACAGCCTGTCAACTCTTTAGTCAAATAACAGTATTCACTCTGGGGTTTGACAGAACCACCGAAATGGATGTTTTCAGCATGTAATAACTTTGTGCTTGGGGAATGACAAGTTTGCAGTTTCTCTGTCAGACCCTGTTAGAAATGAGCAGGTCCTGCCTTCCTATTATCATGTCACAAAGGCAACATGGATACGGAACCTTCTGATTCCCCTGCAGAAATATTCTAAACTTTATGAGTGTTATTTTTCTAACTTTAAACAACTTAAAACAAATGAGTGACAATTGAAATAAAATGTCATTTACTACATTGCACTAAATCATTTTGCTATTATTCTACATAATGCAGACAAGATTTGGAATATAAAGTATATACACAGCCAAACTTAACAACCAGTTTTCCTAATGTGGAAGAACTTTATAAAAATTTAAATCATCTCCAGTAAGGAAATGATTGGTTTTAATTTATAACTAAAGAAAATACACAAAGGTTTAGTCTCATATTTCATATTATTTTGTGAATTGTTGCTGAAGACTTCAGGAGCCTCCTCAAGCACAAACGTGCACTGAGGCGAGACATTTTAATACACTCTCCTGTTGTTGTAACATTAATGTGCAGACTTTTATCTGTTTTCTGACTTGTTTTCCTCATTGAATATCAATTGATTTGTATTGATGATATGAAACATCAGCTTTTGAAAACATCGATGTGAGATAGGTGTAATCAGACTAAATAGAATGGCATATATTTTCCAAGGAGTGAGGTATCTATACCATATATAACCCAATTTATTGCAACAAGCTATTAACAGTCTCTTGAATATAGAGCTCTTCCCAATCTAATCCAGTTGTTTAGCTGAAGTCTTATTAATGACGCTTACACCCTGTGATGACATCAAATTATGTCTTGACAGCATCTGCAACTACACAGGTCACAGTGCCAGACTTATTCTCCTCAAATTCACCCACTTCACTCTTAAATAACAATAATAATAACAATGATAACATCTCATTTCAGCTGTATTAAAATAAAGCATCATAAAACTTACCAGGCCTGCAGACCGAAGTGACTGTTCCTGCTCGAAGTCAGGGGAGCGCGTGCCCCCAGAGGTTTATAAACAGCATGAACAGCCCCGCCTGCTCCAACTGCAACTCAGTGATGTCCACACTGGGCAGCATGTGCATGTGTGTGTACTCGTGTATATATGTGTGTGTGTGTGTGTGTGTGTGCAGGCACTTATGCCATTTATTTATCCAGTTTATACACATAGTATATATGAGAGGAATTACCTCCTATAGTGATTTAAATCTGATGTAGGTTATTTTATGTTGATTTGGTCTTTAGAAGACATTTAAACATTAAATACCTTTAAATAACCTTGAACAAGATCAAGTCCTTTTCCACTCATTCCCTCTCTGGAGTGAATGCATTCATGGTGAGACATGAAGTCACACTAACACCTGAGAGGACTGGATGATGCACATCCACAACACAACATACATGTGATTGCTACATTCCATACAGTAAGATGTATTGTTGTCGCCTCGTAGATGGGAGCAAAAATCATGCTGATCGTTGCGTCTATTTTCGAGCAATTTCATCCAATTAGAGGTTTTCTCCCTGGCTCAGCCCCTCTGGTCTGGACAAATGACAAGAAACTGTTAAGAAACTAAGAACCACTCCTCTGGTTCCCTCTGTGGCAGCTGAACAGTCTCGGTTGTTTATTGTTTCCAGTGGGCTCCAGGAAACCACAAACCAAATTGCACACATTTCTGTGCTTCCAAAACAACACTGTTGTTTGTTTTCTAATTTGTTTCTATTGCTCCATCACTGAATTTACAGCTAACCGTATATCACTGTGACATCTGAGACACTGTGCGGTTGCCAAACGATGAACTATCTGACAGAGTGAAGCTGGACTGTAACAGAGAAATGAAAAATAACATTTTAAGGAAATATTTATTCCCTTTATTCCATCATAATGGTTTCATGATACATAAGGTGCAGACAGAGGGGAAGGTATTAAATGGATCCTACATCAAATTACAAATATATGAGTTTTTTTCTACCCTTTACTATCAGACATATATGTTCTTAACTTCTCCCTCTTCCTCTGTTGACCAAACAAACCAGTGTACACATTAACAGTGGCAAAGAAACACAGCGAACAACAGGAGACACAAATAATACACAGTGCAATTACAAACAATAAACACAATGAAACATACAGGTCAGTAGCCTGTACCACAAACCGCAATAACATAATATTGCTGTAAGACATGTGCAGACTCAAAAGGAGTTTGTAACATTTTCACCCACATTTCAACATCATATAATTGCACATGTATGATAATAATTTAGGATTTAAAATTCAAATCAGAATAGTGCTTTTATGTAACAATGGGATAAATCAAAAATCCTTCAAATATGACCAAGAAGTGCAAAGCTCAAAGCAGTTATCATTCCACATAACCACATGTGTCAGCCACTGTTTTAAATTCAAGATTTAAAGTAGCTAATAGATTCCCTACTTCAGCTGTCATACTTACAATTTTAAGTAGGACATTTTTAAATACACAGCATTCTGTGGCTCCCAGTTACCCCAATCTCCAGTTTGCCTTTCAGTTTCTATGAGGTAAAGTTTGCTAAGAGTAAATAAAATCACCAGTTCGAGCTTTTAAAAAATAACTTAATTTGAGCAGTAAGTTAATAGTAAAGGCACATGTTTAAAATGCAAAGTAATATTACCCCAACGTTTATCAGTGTAGAAAAGCATCATTTAGCAACGCAGCGTTATTTTCTTCTGTCTGAAAATGATCTGTTTCAAGATTTTTAAACTTCACCACATTACTATAAAGTCAATGAGTAAATAAATAACAACTTTAGGGTCACCATACAGTAACGCATGGGGACAGTTAGCATAAAACTAACATTTGAACCAATCGCTTGCTCAGTGCTTACACATAACAGTGCTGAAACATTCACAGTACATCACCGGACTTCTTCCTGCGCCAGAAGAACCAGCCTGACCTGCATCACCCTCATCCCGTTTCCAGGTCAGGACACTATTTCACATACAGTAACTTCACAGTATGGCCCTGTTCAGACCTGGTATTTTCACGTGTCTCAACAGATCCGATCACAACTGGATAGTTCTAGGTACGAGTTACCACTTCTCCATATGCTTAAAATATTCACATCTGTTATTTCTGTTGACAGAGATCGAATTATTATCAAATCCAATCCGAGTACACAGATGGAACATTGTCAATCAATATATGGAAAACAATCATACTAAAATACTTTGGATTCATTATGATACTGTAGCAGGTCAGAGGACCTCAACTTGTTCATGAATGTGGCCCAGGACATTTGCGTTCACACTGCTGGCCACAGCCATTACCCCTCGGACATCAAATGTGTCCTCATTCCATCTGGGGTGTGTACACTACTGTACTTAAAGCGTCCACTTGTGACCTAATCACCTGAGACATGAATACCAGTTCTTAATGGGGTTTAAAACATACTTCTGTTCTTTTAATCGTACCAACAATAAATTGATGCTGTTGGTATCATCTACTTTTTGAAAGAGACCCTGCAGAGCGATACTCAGTCTCACAGCCAGTTAAGTGCATTCATGTTGATGGTATGGCTTTTCCCTGGTCCTCCACCTTTTTAATGGCTGCCTGAATCTTTGCCTGGTCTCCTAAGAGCTGTCGTGGTTTCACAGGCCTGAGGTTGTCATCCAGCTCCAGCAGCACAGGTATCCCTGTGGGTAGAGTGACGCTAGCAATGTCCGCATCTGATATTCCTGTTGAAACAAGGGCAGTGACACTGAAATCATGCTGAGCGATGTAAGTACAACCAAGCCTGCTGACAGTTCCATTCATGCATGAGTGCAATGTGATGACATTATATTTAGGAAAGCTGCCAAACAGTTAGATTATTGCCAAATCACAATAGCACAGTTGCAGACTGTGTAGATCCTGTGTTGCATATCATTATGTAAGAGTCAATATGTGTTAAGTTACGGAGTGGCCTGGGGCAAATGTAGCCCCCCCAGCTTACGAGTGTGAGGAAAGGTCAGCGTGGATTTCATAGCTGCAGCCTAATGAAACATAAACTCACTGGCCTTTTTGTAAGTTCAGCCGGCCATTTCTGGAACTGAAATATGTCCAACCCAATTCACTGACTCTGATGACTAGAAACAGCAGCTTGTAAAGAGCTTGTAAAAAGGGGTTCATGCATTCACAGTTCCAAAGCTGAGAGAACAATGTGTATAAGAGATCCATTCAGTTGCATACCTTCCAGATGTTTCAGCAGGGCTCTGCAGCTGTTTCCATGGGCAGAAACCAGCACAGTCCTGCCTCTCCTTATCTCTGGCACCACAGTGCTGTCCCAGTAGGGCAGCAGCCTGTCCAACACCTCCTTCAGGCTCTCTGCTCGGGGAAGGCTCTCCTTCGGCACGTCACATGTGGTGTACCTGCGGTCATTGTAGATTTCCAGGAAGTAAGGATGGGATTCCTCAATCAAAGGCGGTGTGATGTTGTAGCCCCTTCTCCACAACTTCACCTTTTCCTCTCCGTGTTTTAAAGCCATTTCTGCTCGGTTCAAGCCAATCAGGGAGCCATAGTGTCGCTCATTCAGTCGCCAGGACTTGATGACAGGTACCCACTCCTGGCCCATAGCCTCTAGCACCAGCCAGGCGGTGTGGATGGAGCGGCTCAGTATGGAGGTGAACACCAAGTCGAACTTGTAGCCCTGCTCCTTCAGGAGCCTGCCACAGTCCTGGGCCTCCTTCACCCCATCCTCGCTCAGCTTCTGGTCCACCCAGCTGCAGAAGCGGTTCTCTTTGTTCCAGGCCCCCTCTCCATGCCTCAGCAGAAACAGTTTGTACTTGGACATCCGAAGTACCGGCAGCAGGACCCTGCACACATTCAGTAATACTGAAACATAAAGATAGCCCAGACAGTAATAGCAGAAGTGAAAACAAAGTTAAACAGAAGCTTGCGGTGCACAATTTGATGGCCTCAGTTAGTGTCTGGTCTGCATATCTGATCCGAGTTCAGGAGCGGGGACTTAAGGCCAGCAAAAGGTTAGAGGTGACGGTGTGAAGGCAGATAGCTACAGCCTCATCTGTTTATTAAATAACAGTCGAGTTATGTTGATGATCCAGAATTTCTCTGGTTTTAAAGCAGAGGAAGAGTTTATCACAATTACAGATAATCTGTAACATGTCAGCTTCATGTCAACAGCTCAACACAGATTCTTAATTCTCAAATAATCCTGGCATCGTGGGGGAAACACGTTTGGAAACGCAGAAACAACAGCATCGGGTGTTTATGATTCACTCACCTTATACTTATACTTAAGTGTTTACACACTGGACACAAAACAACAGCAGCTTAACTACTGCACCAAAGAACAATCAGCAAATATCTCATTTCATGCTGTAACAGTGTGCAGCCTGTGTGAATGAATGGATGGGTGTGATGCTATGATGTCGCCTAAAACGTAAGCACTGCGTTTACTCCATTAAACCATCCTGCGTGTAAAACACAAACACACCCGTGACCCCCTCGTCCCAGAATCCTCAGAGTGCGTATCAAAAACGTCGTCTTACCCTCCGATGAAGTGAAATCCGGGTTTTAGTGTCTGTGGCTCCGCGGACAGTGTTGACACCGACAGGCCATGCACAGCAACCCTGCGGAGGCCAGTGATCGACGTTCCAGGCGTCCAATCAGAGTGGCGGCTCGGGCATGTGGGCGGTACGTTTGTCAGATGTTATGCCCATATTAGGAGTGGTAGTCGTGTTTAGAGCGCAGGGGGGCGGGGACCGCGTCAGTCATGGATGAAGAGGTCAGTGTTCACTGTGGAGTTCACGGAGGTTTCATGGCGTCTGTGAACACCGCAGCTCTTACTGTAACAGACAGTCTGTGATTGTGCGTGCGAGGGAGACTGGACACAGACGTGTGACAGTGTCGATGTGATCACATCGAATCTGACAGGGATTTAAGTTCAATTAAAGCAATCGTGATGGTTTAACTTGAAGTTTGAGAAACTGCTGTCACTTCAACTCTGACACTGTTCAGCACAGTAAAGATAGGTACGCTTTTTAATGTGTGTTCAGAATGAATGGGCTCATGTGTTGAAGACAGAGGCCATTGTCAACAAATTCATTTCAATTCCTCAACCTTTAATTTGAGAGCTGCAATGATTACTTTATTTATTCATCCCCAAAGGGAAATTAGGTGATTGATTCGTCGGTCCACAACTAATTATAACTATTTCCATCTTTCATTTGAATGTTGACATTTTATTTCTGTCATTTCTGAAATCTCGATCAATTTGGGAGTTTCTTTGTATTTGTACGTAGATCAATTTTGGGCTTAGGAACTTTGGGGTGGTTATTTCTCACTAGTTTTGTTCCCTAAACCATAATCTGTACAGTAACTTTTGCGTTACTTTGCCAGGGGTGAAATATAACCAATCATAGTTATCAATAGCAATGTATCAGCAGTTCAATAATCGATAAAACCCTAATGCATTGTGCAAAAAGTGAGGATGTATAGCACATAAAAATAATAATAATAACCTACCTCAGATTTATAAAAATGTTTTTGTCATTCTCTGTTCATAAAGAAAAGTTTATAACCTAAACCTTCAGTGAGCAAAAACATCAGGCTTCCAACTCAACAGAAGCAATAATGTGACATTTATTGTGATAATTTTTCCGATATTGACTTGATATAATATCGCCATATTAATAATAATCATTTACAGCCCTACTTGAGATTTGATGTGACCCTAACCTTGACTAAATATGAGTGTATCACAATCTACAATATTCTACATCATTGTATTGATATATTATGAGATAAAACTAACAGATGAAGTCAACAGGTAGGATGTGTCTCACTTTTGACCTAAAAAGGTATGGTAAAATTATTATTATTATTATTTATGAAAATTATACTTTAACAATACTGCATAGAGAACTGTTTTCCATCTTAAGGCAGAGACGACCATTCTTCTCAGAGCAACAGCCATAATGATTTTATTATTTGCTTCTTGTCATTACAATGTCATCAGATTAACTCCACATTCATTTTTATCAGATGCTCACCTTGATGTGACTCCATGGACAGCTGACAAAATTAGCTGTCTCTGGAATGTGTCTCCCAATCCGACATGCAGAGTGTCCTTTGCGGAAAACACAATAATAAATGCAAATGTTGTTCTCCATGTTCTATGTTTGCACGAGTCAGGAGAGGCAACACATTCCCATGCCCTCTGATAATTGCCTGTTTATTGTATAACAGATAAGGACAGCAAACAGTGGTGCTGTATTCATGAACTAAGAACTATAAAAGCAGAACTGCTCAAATACATCAAATACATATGTTTTTTCATAATTCACATCATTATGTAAAAAACAATATGTATGCCTCAAGAAGTGTCATAAAATTCATATGGTCACTATCATCATTTTTACAAACAATTCAAACACCAACATGAAACCTATCGGTAATATTGGTCTTCACTGCCACTGTCATTAGAAAGTGAACAGTAGTCACATGATTCACTGGTTCTACCTGCTACAGAACATATTCACTTCAAATCTACTGTCCAGCATTAAACAGCTTCTTCCTGCCCTCCATACCAGACATGGCATCCACGTTCTTACGCCAGTCAGTCACTTCCTCTTTCTGTGTATGAAAAAAGAAATAAAAAAACATTTGCAACCAAATCCTCAAATCTGAATCTATTTCAATTATCCCACCAACTTTTTTATAAATGTTATGAAATGAATTGCTTGAGCTTCAGTAGCAGTGTATAGTCAGTATGTTGTGTTATGTCATTTTAATCTTCTTATCAGAACTGTGCAGATTGTGAATTATTTCATATATTTTTAATTGTTTATTTGAATGCTTGTATTTAAACATGACCTCAGGAGTCCCAAAGCAGAATTGATAGTAAGCGGATGAGGTGAATAGACCCATGATGTTTTGCAGTTTAAAATTTGGCAATAAACTGGTCAGAGCCAGCAGCTCTTACCTTCTCCTCCTCCTTCTTCACAGTCTTGAGGTTGGCCTTGAAGTCTACAGACTCCTTGACCTTGCAGCCCAGCAGAGCTCCCAGCATGGCGTCAGCAGACACACGTACCCTCCTCAGGTTTGGTCTCTTCATCTTGCCCTTCAGCTCAAAGATCTTCTGTGACAGGTCCTGAATCTTTTACCAACACAAATGACAAAACCGTTTTCACCATTACCTTAAAATACACATTTCTCATTGAAGGTTGGTCACATAAAGTATGCATTCCTTAAATGTATGATTAAAGCTCTAGTTGTGGACCTTTACGTTTGTTAGATTCAAGCCCTTGCCAAAGGAGACAGTGCTGATGAAGCCTTTCAGCACTAGGTATGTCTATATGAGTATCTCTGTATAGTTTTAAATCCAGTGTCTTGTGACATTGCTGCACTGGTGCTCCTCTTATGATGCACTTGATATCAACCAACGATTGGTTTGCCAGTGCCAAAAGCTCAGGGAAGAAAAACAGTTTGTGATACTCTGTATAAAATACACCTGGTGTTCATAGGAAGTCTGAAAAAGAAAATGATCTACGCTGAGGACAAACACAGATTATGGCTGGTGTGGGAGATAAACCTCCTGCACTGCAGGTTTAAGATTATGTGAAGAAGGATGAAGTTAAAATGATTATTTGCAAATATTACTTACCTCTGTGTCATTTTTAGTCACTTTTGAAGAAATGTCGTACCGCTCTTCATCAACCTTGTCAATTTTCTGGTGTAGTTCTTTGCAAATATTCTGTGGACAGAAACCTTAACTTCATTAGACTTACATTTTGCACAGTGACGCTACGGCATGTGCATGAGAAAATCTTATATGTTATAAACATAATCTATGTAACACATGGCAGCTTTTTTCTGCATAATTTTGACAATACACAGATTAACTTTGTGGTCAGAATTAAAATTGTTGATTTGGATAATTCCAACTAATTGTTCATGGCAAGAGATATGGCTTGTTGAGGTTTTTTAATTGATATTTGTTCCCATAAACAAAATTACATTCACGTCAGTTGTATTTTGGAACGTCTCAGTGGTTATCTCAAAAACCTCGGCCAATAAAACTAAACCTAATTGCTTTTGGCTAGATACCATTTGAAATAGAGGGAACGAGTGATTTGGGTGAAGTGACAGATTTAAAGTGTTAACACAATCATGTGATTTAATCTGAGTGACAACAAAAAATAATTCCTCATGTGGATTCAAACGCTTCAGTGATATGTGTACCTGTAGATCCTGCTGAGACAGGCCGGACAGCTGGAGGGCTGGGACTCTCTCTGTTAGGGTTCTGTCTCGTTCATCTTTTCTGACTTGTTTTTCATTCTCCAGCATAGTCATGGCCTTCTTCAGCAGTTTGGTCTGGTGCACAGCACACAAGCATACAAAATTACACCTCAGCCAAGCAGACAATGGATGGATTCCAGTATTCAAAGCATGTCAATTCTAGTACAAGACTTTGCACAGCATTACTATCCAAGACGAACACCCAGAAGCATGTAGGATACCTTCAGGAACAGTCTCCGAGAGGCCGAGAGTTTGGGCTTTGGTTTCTGTGAAAAAAATGTAGGGTTCAGTTTTTTAAATTTAGTGGATAACCTGAGACATTTCCATCTGTTAGCATGACAAACTGCTGAAATAACAAACATATGACAAAACAAACTCCATGACAGTTATTTCTGTTCATCTCATTTAACTCTGACACCAGTTAATGGTTTTACATGGAAGTTTACACATATGGTTTCTTGTTGAGAGTGTGATGCCAAGAGCTTCGGCCATTGTCCCATTTACAATACAAGAGGTTGTCACACATCTACCGAGCAGCGCTACTTCTTCAAGGTGGACTGGACGCTACATTGACTTGCTATTGGAAAGTGATGGAGTGAGTCGGCAGCGGTCATAGGGAGGTGGTTAGCATGCTGGCTTCAGCTGAGGCAATAAAGTGATAAAAATAGTTAGAGTTAACATTGGCATAGCTTTCTACCACTGACAGCTCCTGATGAGTAAAGAAGTGTGATGTTGAATTGCAATATTTCTGCAAGATTGCTATGTAAAGTCAGCTGTTATGGTTCTGTTTGTGATGTACTGATAACAAAAACTAAGAGCAGCAAGTTTTTGTTAAGTTCAAAGTCAATTCATTTTGACTGAAACCCTGACAAGAATTTGACCTGTGTGCTCTTATATGATATATTATTAAAATCCACTTACTTTGAAACGATGATTATTTTCTTTGGAGTATGAATTAATTTAGGTTTGTTGTTAAAAAATATGAACACATTTAAAGTTCTGCATTATTAGTTGGTAAGACACGTTTACTACCTGAGTCTCACAATCAATTAATCTGGCAAAAAAGAAATCAACTCACCGCAGCCCTATCCATTTAGGAAGATAATGCAAATAATTCACAGAGAGAGAGAAAAAGTAGAGTTAGTTACATTTTTGTGATTTCACATTGCACATTGAAGAAAGTTAATGAGACCTGGCTTCTTCTACTTACGCTTCAGACATGGTTGCAGTTCAGTGAGGCTCC